TAACTCGTTGAGTTCGAGTTTTAAAATAATAAACGTCCATGAATAATTATTGTTTTGAAATATTGATTTGCCTGGATGTTGAATACGAGAGCAACACCAAAATTTTTAGTTCTAGCCGAAAAATAAGTTTTTTGTTTAATTAATGCATTTATTTTAAATTATTTAACTATTTTTAATGTGGCATCTCTTGAATTCCTCCTCCTCCTAAGTGCCTTCTCTATTGAGGTTGGCGATCATTATGGCAAATTTCTCTCTGTTCTGGGCTTGATGGATTAAGTCATTTCCTGTTGTGTGAGTCCAATCTCTGATGTTTCGGAGCCAGGATTTCTTCTTTCTTCCTATACCCCTTTTACCCTCGATTTTGCCTTCTAATATTACCTGGAGCTGCTCAAATTCCTTATGGCGCATTATGTGTCCTAGATATGACGTCTTTCTAATTTTGATTGTATTAACCAGATGAGGTCGTGTGTTCATTATTTCCAGTACCTCTTCATTTGTAGTTTTGCTGGTCCAGCTTATTCTTAGCATTCGGCGGTACATCCACATTTCGAATGAATTCAGTTTGTTGACGTCATACTGTTTTAATGTCCAGGTCTCACAGCCATATAGTAGTAGAGACCACACATAACACTTTAGTGTTCTTAACCTTATTGTGATTGATAGCTTGGGGTTACAGAGCATTTTACGCATGTTCATGAAGCCAGATCTTGCTATTTCAATACGTCTTCTAATTTCTTTTGAGTGGTCTATGAAGAGGTATGAGGTATATGAAGCTTTGGGAGCTCTGAAGGGTGACACCATTGATTTGTATGTTGGGTGTAATTTGTTCATGGGGGTTCTTGTGGAATACCATGATGGAAAGATTAATATCCAAACCTAGTCTGTGACTTTCTTCTGATAGTATGTTCATCAATATTTTTAGTTGGTCTTCTGTTTCTGCTAATACTACGGTGTCATCGGCATATTTTACATTGTTAATGATGATTCCATTGACTCTGGCACCTTCAGGGCGATCTTCAAGAGAAGCTCTGATGATATTTTCGGCATAGACATTAAATAAAAGACGGGACAGAATGCACCCTTGACGCATTCCTCGTTCTATGTTTACATAATTGGTATTTCCGTTGTCTGTTCGAACACATCCTGTGTGGTTTCAGTATGTATTGCTTATTATAGCTATGTCGTGTCCGTCCAGCCCTACTTCTTTTAGCACCTCAATCAATTTTTCGTGTCTAATGCGGTCGAAGGCCTTTCTATAATCGACAAAGCACACATACAGCTGTTTTTGAACCTCGAGATACCTTTCTGCCATTAGTGTCAATCCCATTATTGCTTCTCTGGTGCCTGTACCTTTCCTAAATCCATATTGAGAACGACTCAGGTATTCTTCACACTTATTGTGAATGCGGTTATAAATTACTCGCATAAAAATCTTAGCAGCATGACTCATTAGGGATACAGTTCGATGGTCTTCACATTTCCTTGCTTTTTGTTTTTTAGGAAGAGCTACATATGTGGATGTTAGCCAGTCATGCGGTAGAGTGCCATGTTCAATGCGGTAGAGTGCTCTTGAATTCAATGCAGTTAAATTCATTTGTAACAATTCCATCTATAAGGATACTCTAAACGAAGAAATGTCTGATTCCTCTCGACAAAAAAAATCTGAATTCTTTACGTTATTTTATTCTATAGAAGATATAATTAATAAATTATAGTTCAACATATCAAGTAATTATCTACAGTGCTAGTCAAAACTCCTCCCTCCTCCTCGTATCTTTTGAACGGTTATTACTAGTGAAATTTGGAGGGAGGTAATAAACAGACGTAGGCTTCTCAACTAGTCATAACAGGTGACGTAATAGTGACAAATTACAGATAATTTTAAATGGGACCTTGTGGCTGTATGGACTCATACCTCGTTAGAAAGGTATTGAAAATACCTATTCAGTTCTAATAATTTTGTATAGAGTTTAAGCTCATTTTGATCAATAAATTAAATACATACTAAAATTATAGCTTCTCAATTAATTAATAAATATTTAACAACCAGTTCTTATAGTAACTGTTCAAAATGTGCTCCATCTACTTCCTGACAGTAATGCATCCTATTCCTAAACTCTTGCCGTACTCGTTCAAATGTGTCGGGGGAAATTTCCCTATATTCTTCAACAATTCGTTGTTTCAAAATGTCAATATTGTCGGGTGCTATAGCGTAAACTTTATATTTCAATTATCCCCACAGAGAAAATCTAATGGTGTGAGGTCCGGTGACCGACCTTCCTCATCTATATAACGTCTTACTGCACTATAAGAGTGTGCAGGAGCACTATCTTGTTGAAAAGTTATTTCCAAGTTGTCGAATTCATCTGGATTATCTTCCAGAATTTCAAGTATTAACGGTTCAATTGTATTTTGTAACATTTCCAGATACATTTCTCCAGTTAAGTTAGTATTGAGAAAAACAGGTCCAACTATGTGGTTTCCCATAATAACTGACCATATATATTTTTTTTTTTTTTGGAAATTGAGTATGTATTTCACAAAATACGTGAGGATTTGTGTCACTCCAATACCTCACCTTCTGTGTCTTAACATTTCCATTGAGAGAAAAAGTACTTTCGTCACTAAAACAATTTTTTTTATGTAATCGGGCTGTTGGTTAATTTTATTGGACATATTTTCACAGAATTCTAGTCTTTGGTCGGGGCCATCATCTGAAAGTTAGTGCACAATTTTTAATTTGTATGGATGAAATTTATGGTTTTTAGCCAACACTCAGTGTACTGTCTTTTGACTGATTCCATAGATAGATGCAACTTGGGCTGTAGAAGAAGTAGGGTTCACTACCATTTCTAAAATTATGTCAATTTTTTTGGTACATTTGGTACATTTGGTGTAGTTTTAATCACAATTGTTTACGTTTTGTGAAGATATGTGGTCTCCTCGCTATTCAACCATCTAAATGCATACCAAGGTACTTTACGTCATTGGTTTGCTGAAACTGTATACCATTCATTGTGACCGGTGGGCAGGTATCCCTTTTCATTGTGAAGGTTACGTTCTTGGATTTGGCTTCATTTGTTTTCATTTTCCATCTGTTCAGCCAAAGTTCGATATTGCTGAGACAATTTTGTAGGTTTTTCGTAGCAGTAGCTGCATTTTGATGTGATGTTAATATTACAGTATCATCCACAATGTACATCTGTCGTTGAATGTGTTTAAGGGAAATCTATGGTATATAGTAGGTAAAGCACCGGTCCAAGAACACTGCCTTGGAGTACACCTGATTCAAATGGGTACAGTTAGTGCATTCCTTTTATTATCTAACTAGGAAGTATCTGTTGGTTAGATAAGATTCTAGCACACCATAGAATCTATGCGGTAGATACTTTTTATAGATTTTATAATGTAGGCCGGTATGCGAGACCTTATTAAAAGCCTGATTTTTATCCAGAACGACTGCGGAACAGTATCGTCCATTTTCTAGGTCGTTGTCGATTGCGAATTGTATGTACCTGTTGAATAGTGCTATATTACTTACTTACTTACTCCGTGGCGTTACAACCCTTCGTGGGTTTTACCCGACTCGACAACATGCCTCCACTGTTTTCTGTCTATAGTGCTATATTCCCGTCGGAAAACAAACTGGTAATCAGGTATGATTTTTTTTATTTCTAGGGTGGGTTGAAGTCTTGTTAACAACAATTTCTCAAATATTTTGGATATAATTGGCAATTCTTCCCTGATTTCGGCACCATTATGACTTCCGCTACTTTTCATTGTCGCTAACAACAGATGAAACCTAACCACTGTTACGAACAAATGAGTCTTGAAACTTTCGAAGGCTTTTATACATTAGCCTTCGAAGAAGAAAATCAAAAATCTAATATAGATAGATAGATATTTTATTTTTTTTTTTATACAAATTTTTTAAATACAAAAGTATTTTTTATAAGTCAAAGATAAACAAAAAATATGTCAGTATAGTCAATATACACATAACTATAAATAGAAAACATAGATACAGTGTTTTAACTTATATTGTTAACAATAACCACAAATTTAAATTGGAAGTAAAATACTCCTCATATGTAAAAAAGGCATTCACTATAAAGTAACTCTTCGGATAAATTCTGGTATATGATTATTGTTGTGTCTGGTGGGATAATTGTGAAAATCTACATGCGTATTGTATTGGCTAAGATTTTGTTTATTGTGCAACAAACACTGCATAATGTATACATAAGGTAAAGTTAAAATTTTGAAAGCTCTAAAGGAGTTTCTACAGTCTGCTCTATAACAGAGCCCAGAGATAATACGAACACACTTTCTTTGTTGTGCAAACACTTTATCAATACCGGTATCTTTATCAATACCAGTACCCAAATCAATACCAATATTTATTCACAAGAGTGACACCAGGAGAGAATAGAGAGAATAAAGTTGCAATTTAGCAAAATCTGGTTTCTTCATCTGTGATAGATCTATACTATTACAAACTTTGGTTGCACAATTTTTGGATGAGTAACCTATCTGAAAGGAAATACCTCTGTGGTCAGATGCGTGAGTGAGATCCACAGGTTTTATGGTACCATCAATATTTGTGAAACAAATTAGTAGCACACTTAGTACACAATAACTATTTTGTTTTTATTTTGATCCGTGGAATAATTTTTTTTAGATTGAAAGTATTTATTGCATTTCTTCGGATGTTAATGGCACACGGCCAAAATCAACGATCCCTACTTGTGTTTTGAACTAATAAAATTTAACCTAAATGATTTTTTAGGTTAGGTTTTACACTCAAGGTATGAAACCTCAAGTATTTTTATTTATTTAATGGCGAGTAAGTCGTAGTAAAATGTTTAAACTTTCAGTATATGTCTGTTCTGTGGAATGAAGGTAATTCTTGAGCAAATTAAATGTATTACAATGCATACAATAAACAGTTAGATTTCCGTATCTTCCTTAATATTTCTGTTACACTGTTTTTCTTTCAGGTACCACAGTTTAGCTCCTATGTACTATAGGGGCGCACAGGCAGCTATAGTCGTCTACGACATAACCAATCAAGACACATTCGGCAGGGCGAAAACGTGGGTTAAGGAACTTCAAAGGCAGGCGAGTCCGACGATCGTGATAGCTTTGGCCGGCAACAAGCAGGATTTGGCTAATAAACGTATGGTAGAATACGAAGAGGCGCAAACGTATGCTGACGAAAATGGCTTACTTTTTATGGAAACTTCCGCAAAGACGGCAATGAACGTCAACGATATATTTTTAGCAATAGGTTAGTATTTGATTAATCTTTAGTGAGCAGTTAATTTAAAAATTAACCAATTAATTGTTGCACCTACAACACAATATCAATTAGTCAAACGTTTTAATATATTAAATGCTAGTGATCACACGATGCTGCAAGAAATCAAACGATTTCTAAAAAATAAAACGCGATGGTTGCCTTTTAATAACTTTTACGCGTAAATGCAATGTAAAGTAAACTGGGGAATAAAAATGAACGCACCTTTTATTACTTAAATATATAATGTATTAATGAAAAAATATTGTGGTCATTACTAGACGTCCATCATCGTCCGAATGTTTGTTTTTGGGAAATAGTATAGTCGTCTCGTATTTCGGTGAGACTGTAAAAATTTATTTATCTCTAATAAAAGCAAGCAATAAACATTAAAAGTACTCTACAAAGAGTAGTTATTAACTACAAACTTATCAATGACTGGGATGTATAATAATACAAAGTTTTAATATTCTTCTTGATATTTACGTTCAGATGTGCCTGGTATTATGTTTGAAAATATGGGCAGTCTCCCAGTCGAAGTTTTCATCGAACTGTGGATCAGTCCACATGGACCAAGAGCCAATCGGCTATTATGACAAACCATAATGCGTTATCTTTTATCGGCAGACTTCTTCGGGTAAGATATAACAATATTTGCCTGAGCGACCGAAACCATAAAGTAGTTTATAAGAAAAAATCACGTTTCCACAGCCCAGTGGTTTACACTTGGGTAGGTAGGTATATTTTATTTTTAAACCAGTGAAATCAGATTTTCTTCTTCTTATGATGTCCCATTCAATTAGTGTATGTTGGCGACAATTCTGGCATACTCCTCTCGATCTTGTGTGACTCTAAAAAGTGCATGGGCATCGAGGTTTGTCGAATCCCTTATGTTTTTAAGCCATGAGTATTTCTTTCTTCTGATGCCTCATTTTCCTTCTATCTTCCCTTCCATAATAAACTTTAAGAACTGGTACTTGGAATTTCGAAATATATGACCCAGATAAGCAGTTTTTCTTCTTTTTACTATTGGCAGCAATTCTCGTTCTCTGTCCATTCGATTTAATACTTCGACATTTGTTGTGTGATCTGTCCAGGGAATTTTAAGCAGTCTTCTAAAAACCCACATTTTAAAGGCCTCCAATTGGTTCATCACATTGGCTTTTATGGTCCAGGTTTCTACACCATATAGCCGTATGGAGTAAATGTAACATTTTACAAAGCGATATCGAAGCGTTAAGTTGAGGCTGCTGTTGCTTAGCAAGGTTCTCATATTAGTAAATGCTTTTCTGGCTTGCTCAATCCTGCTACGTATCTCTATGTCTGGATCTAGATCTTCAGTTATCCAACTACCGAGATATTTGAACTTGGGGGTCTTTTGGATATTCTTGTCGTTTAGTGTTATATTTAATTGCATATTTCGTGTTCTACTAACCACCATTACCTTCGTCTTGTCTATATTAATCTTTAAGCCCAGTCGTTCTCCTTCAGTGTTTATTTGATCTATTAGTTGTTGTAGCGCTTCTTGGTTATCAGCTATTATGACTGTATCATCAGCATAGCGAAGATTACTAATAGTCTGTCGGTTGATTTTGATTCCACCTTCAGTGTCACTTAAGGCTTTATCGAAAATCTTTTCAGAGTAAAGATTAAAAAAGAGGGGTGACAGAACACAACCCTGTCGTACACCTTTTTCGATTGAGAAATATGATGTAGATTTCAGTCCTACTCTCACAGATGCCACTTGATTCATATAAAGGTTCTTTATGATTTTAAGGTCATTCTCATCTATCGAACGTTCCTGGAGCAATCTTACTAATTCTGAATGATTAACACAATCAAACGCTTTCTGGTAATCAGATTTTGCGAAACAAGAATATTTTTAGTATAACCATAACTACTACAGCGTTCAGTTAAATTCAAATAGAGAACTGTAAGTTAGTTTGGTTGTGACTTCATCAATGTTCTTTCTAAATTTCTTTTACCATTTCACGAAGATACTTAAAAAAAAACTGACCAGTTACCAGCTGTTCTCCGTTTGAAGAGGTTTATTCTCCGGCTCTGGAACTCACTTCAGCCATGTATGTTACCTGAAGTCAAATTTAATTTAATACTGAACGTCACAGTTTTTTCAGCCATGTATGTTACCTGAAGTCAAATTTAATTTAATACTGAACGTCACAGTTTTTTTACAACATGATGTATAATCTTTTACAACTATATGTAATTTAAAGGGATTTTACCCAGGTATTTTGGTGGCTCAGGCATTATAACCTTGCAATTTTAAAATTTTAAACCTGATGATGGACTGTTTAGTCCGAAAACGTTTGTTTTTTTGATGTAGCCCTTTTAAGGGTTTTTAAATAAATATACCCATTTACGAAGACTAACCTCTTTTTTGTGATACGTGGTATACAGCCAGCTACAGGAATTGTTTTCCTTGTGGATACTTTTAAAAGGTGGCGTCTGCAGTGTGATAATTATTCTGCAGCTGAAGAGCCAGTGGAACTCTCTAATCAATTGGAAGATTTACAAAGCTATGTAGTAAACGTAAGCGAGTTGTTCAATACCTCTCTGATGATGCCAAACGTATGCTGAAACATGTTTATAAAAGACTGTGTTCTAAATTGTTTAAATCAGAGGCAATTGCAGAAAAATGTTTTTTAACCAGATTGTCCAAAACAAGCTGCTACACGATTGTAGGAGAAACATCTTTTATAGAGAGGAGAAATGATTGTGACAAATTCAGACAAATAGAACCGCACTTAATTGAACCTATAAGCAGAACAAGATACAAACTGTATGCCGCTAATATCTTTCCAACTATTGAAAGCCTTCGAAATGAATTGGTTCGAAAGGACATTCTCTCATGTGCAGCAGCAACACTTCGATTATTTGTTAAAGCAAATAATGTGAAGTACAAAACTATTGACAAGCGAGTGGCACTAATGGAAAGTACCAGAATAATTTCTTTAAGAAACAATTATATCAGACAGATAACTGAATATCAAAAAATAAAACGAAATATTGTAACATATGATACTCGTGACACGACACCGTGAAAAAAAGTTGGACGATTAATAACAAAAAGTGTTCTAATTCAGTACCGCCCAATAAAGGACAAGTAATTATAATTTTACACTGCGGTGGAGAAAATGGATAAATCGACGATGTATTATTAATATCTGCAAAAAAAAAATTAAAGACGCGTCTCTAGATTACCATGAGTATATGGAAAGTTCAAAATTTTTGAATGATGGTTTGAAAAACCTCTTCTTCCGACATTACCTAAATGTAGTGTGTGTCATGTGACAACGCATTATACCATTTAAGATTAATGGGAAATATTCTGCTTCTTCTTCTAAGAAGAAGAGAAATATTCCAAATATAACTTAGAACAAATTACAAATTCAGGAATATTTTTTGAGGAAGATTTGTATTTTGATGCATCATATAGTAAAAAAGCAGTTGTAATAGGTTGCTCATAGTAGACAGTATCAGAAAGAATATTTTGTTCATAACTGTGTTCGCAGTAATTTGCATATAGTGCTTATATTTCCTCCATATTATTGTACATTAAACCCAATAGAGTTAATATGGGCTCAACTTAAAGGAAGTATCAGGAGAGGAAACGTGGCTCCTAAATTTTCGTCTACTGTTTTCCAGTTAATTAGAAGAGAACTCACAAAGATCACAGCAACCAACTGGAAAAATGTAATCAAATATGTAATTGGAGTGGAAAATGACTATGTTAACTATTTACCAACATTAACCAAAGTAACTATAAATTTAGAAGATACGAGTGATACTAGTGATAACAGTGCTTAATTCTAATTAGGTGTTAGTTGAAACCTTTATTTTTATATTCTCGTTTTGCTTATATATCTTTGAAAATAGAGTAAAAACACACTTTGATAGAACAAAAAGGTACAAAGTATTTAATATAAAATAGTCAAAGCACTGTTTACGTTACATTATAAAATACCTGCTAGGTATATATTAAACTTTTAGACCTCTTATCCATTTTAAAATTATGGAGGTAAAAAAAACTCTAACACGGTGTAAAACCAAAGTTGGGGTTCTTTAAAGAACACCCTGTGTTTACTTTAAAAAATGAATTCTCTATTTTTTCCTGATTACAATAACATAAAAGTTATCAGGGATAAAATAGGAAGTTTTAGTACCTATGAGCATTTGCGTTCATAAAATGTAAATATTTGATCATACTATTTAACTGTATGGGATAATTAGATACTGTTAACAATTTTTTTTATATGGGTATTATTATTGTACAATAAGTTTTGTTCAGTCGAATTGATTGATATTATTACTACCTAGGTATATAAGAAGTTCATATTTTTTATTTAAAGTTTATAGAAAATGAAACGTTTTGGTAAAATAAAATATTTACTGATACCGACATAATTTGAAGACATGCGACTGTTGCATTTACACTTAAAGTCAAATGTTTGCAAAATAATAACTTTTATTTAATTTAAAATTAGATATCGACGCTACTGTTCAGTAGAATATCATAATGGTCACTCTAACATTGTTGCCAATTTGCTAGTGTCTTACTCGCTCTTTTTCCTGTAAATTTTCCAACGAAATTAAGTGCCTACTATAATAGGATTGTCAGGTTATCTTTTCAAAAGTATAGACTGCGCAGAGGTTTTCAACGAGAGAGCAGTGCAGTTCATTGGTGGAGGGCAATTTATTCTAGTCTGGGAAATAATTATTTTTGACTTATCCGTTATCTGGTAGTAGATCAAAAAGAAGGAATAAACGATTTAGAGCATGGTTTACAATTATTTAAGTGCAACCAGCAGTAGTTTTGTGCAGATTTTTGAAAATGGTTTAAATATAAATGCCCAAGTTCACACCGAAATCAAATCGACAGTCAACTGATTGAAAAAGCAGCAGGTGAAACCTTACAATGATTTGATTTCACAGCAATGTATCGTGTCACTTACTTAATTGCAACCATGGCA